TTTGTAAGCTTAACTTTGGAAGAGTCAACTGCCTTCAACAGCTACAATAATATAAAAAAACTATAGAACAATATACATATATATATATATATATATATATATATATATATATATATATATATATATATATATATATATATATATATATATATATATATATATACATATATATATAGATCTCTGATGAGTCTTTGTTGATGAAACACAGTGTAAAATGAAAAAAAATTTGTTAAGTGATTTTCTACTAATTATATATATATATATATATATATATATATATATATATATATATATATATATATATATATATATATATATATTTATGTATGTATATATATATATATATATATATATATATATATATATGTATATATATATATATATATATATATATATATTTTATACATAATATGTATATATAGTGTATAATATGTAATGTATAAATGTTTTTTAACTAAACATTTATATGTATACATATAAATGTTTAGTTAAAAAAAACCTATTGTTGACCTGGCCATAAATGGCACCACACCTAAAGACATTTCCATGATTCTAAACAAGCTTCTAAGTACAGTCTACACTGTACTTAAAAGCTTGATTAGAATCTTGGTAATAAGAAATGTTTATATGAAATATATAAACAGGACTTTGAAGCTATTCTGGCGCTTGAGCCAGAGCTATTTGGAGTTTTTATAAGGTTTTTATAAGTTATTTGGTGTTTTTATAAGGAGCTGAGCCAGAGCTGGAATTGAAATATTTCCAGGCAGAGCTGGCTCCAGAAATTTTCTAGATAAAGCTATACAGAATGAAGAAGAACATGAGAAGTATTTATGACTATTTATGTATGTATATATATCAAGCTTGGACAGGAATGGCGTGCAATGGTTTGCTATTGCTGACCACGGAAATGATTTTATTTTTTCACAACTTGACCGTGATTGTTTATATGCTTTGATAATTTAAACTTTATAAAAATGCTCTGAATGTAGAAATGCTAAGCTAAACTTAAACAAGGAAAAAAGGAAAAGAAAAAAAAGGAAAAAAAAATTCCTAACAAAAAAGAAACGAAAAAAAATCCTTACGAAAAAAAATTATATAAGCAATAAAACAAAAATAAAAAAAAATAAAAACTTAAACTCGAACCGAAACTTTTTGTTACGCTTTTAATTAAGTATGAAATAAAAGTTATTAAAACTTATCTTTTTGAACGTTTTATTAAGGTTACGCAAAACGCTTTTGAATTAAGTAACAAATTACTACTAATGATTGTTTAATGAACAAACAAATTTTATCAAATTTATTAAAAAGTGTTGTATATAATAGTTTTAAATTGTATAAACATTTATTTTATAATTATTTTTAAATAAACTGCCAATAAGCAATTTAATTTAATTTTATTCTGAGCATTACAACTTTATATATATATATATATATATATATATATATATATATATATATATATATATATATATATATATATATATATATATATATATATATATATATATATATATATATATATATATATATATATATATATATATATATATATATATATATATATATATATATATATATATATATATATATATATATATATATATATATATATATATATATGTCTTGTTGTAAATGTCTTGTTTAAATCAGAGGGATTTTATGGTTTAGAATACAGATTTTAATTTTAAAAATAAATATTCCAATCAGTGATAAAAAAAATCTACAAAGATTGTTGTTGTACTTAAATAAACAACTTTTATACTCAACTAACCAGTTTATGAAATGCAATTTTATCAATTATATACCCATAACAGGCCTTGTTAAGAATCTTTACGCAGCTCGCATTTTACCTGTGAAATAGCGATTTGCCTACGCGTTCAGCAGTTTTGCGTTTCGCAAAAACTTTAATCTTTTAAAATATTTAAATTATCTTTTGATATTGTTTATGTGACATTTATTCAGGAAAAAATAAAATCGTAAATAAAAGCATTTAACCGCAATTGTAAACTAATAGATTTTTTGTTAAAGAAAAGTTTGCTTTATTGTTGTTATTGTTAAAAATAAGTTTAAGAAAATAAAGTGTTTTAAGTTTAAATTTTTTATAATATTTAATATTAGGTTTTATATTTCATAAATTTAAAAAAATTAAGTCACATGTAATGTTCATTTTCGCGATTTCGCGAAAATGAACATTACTGAATTTTTATTTACTGAATATTAAAACATTAAAATCTAATATTATTAGATTAGTAAATATAACTAAAAAATCAAACAATATTTATGAGCTAAATATAATGCCTTAAAAATCACATGATGAAAACCTTGCACTAATAATTTTTATAACTATCATACACATGTAAAAGAATGTCACAATACGTTTTTTCGTGTGTTTTCATAGAGGTTCAGTTTCACCCTGGCACACAGTGACATGAAAACATAAAAAAATTTGAATGTTCTCAAAACATCTAAAAAGTCATGGCCAAGTTGTTGCAACTAAATATTATATGCATGATCAGGAATAGAGTTAATTGCACCCACTTATATCTGCTAATTACTTATTTTTCTCTGCCTAATTCCATATTTATACAAACTAAAATAACAATACTAATTTTGTCTCACATAAATATGAAATAAAAAATAAATTAATAAATAATGATACCAGGATTTGATTGAAAAAATCTTAAAAAGCCAATGAATATTTACAGTTTTAACACACATTTAACACAAATTAACCAACTAAACAGAAAATATAGATAAAACAGTTTTCCCAGCATCAAAGATAATAAAAAGCATACATTTTCTAGTTTTTCTTGCAATTTTTTTTAAAACAATATTTTATTAAACAATTTTCCCCAGTTTTTCCATCAGGCTAGATATGCTTTAACAGTAGATTTAAAAAAATAAATCTAGAATTTTAGATGATCATAATAATTTGTTGAAAGAAAAATATAATAATTTAGATTATGTGCATGAATTAAATCTATTGTAGGATATGTTTCCAACAGATTGTATAAATTTATATAATGTATTACAGTGTGTATATATACAAAATGCATTATGGTGTGTATATGCAGTAAATGTATTGTGGTTTGTGCATATACTTTATATGTGTAGATAAAGTGTTTTGATTTTGTAGATAATAATATTATCTAACTTGTTTGACTGTAAAAAATCTAACATTAACCACATTTAAAATAATCTTTAAACAATAAATTACTAATACTCCTTTACTAAAAATTACAAAAATAATAATATTTGCTTCTAATTAATTTGAAATACATTTAAAATTGCAAATTATTTGAAATCATTTTATCTATTTTTGAAAAATATAAAATAAAGTATAAACCTTCATGTAGACTTCAGCATGCTTGTGAGCTTTCATTGCCCATAACAATTCCACAGATGACTTAAAAGAAAAAATGTTTTTGCTATCAAGCAAGATATAAATGTTTTTATGCAACTTAAAAATAACGAATATTAGGATACAAGAACCAACAAGCCTTACAACATGGCATTATAAATACTTATAAAGATGGTAAGCAAGACTAACCATCTTCGATAGTATTTACCATGTTTGATAATATTTATAAAAAATATATACTGAAAAATACTAACTTTGCATTTTGTTGAATGCGTTGAATATAAACATAATCAATATAAATTAATTAATTCATAGAAAACAAATAACTCACATCATTAACATAATTGTTTGCTGTGTCGTCAGTTTTTACATCTTTTATAATTTTATCTTTGTTTGAAAATTTCTAGACAATGACAAAAACTAAATGAAACAAATTAAAAAAAAAAAATGAAATTTGCTGATTAGATAAAGCACAAACACATATTTTTAAACATTTTCCTCACATGAAAATAAAAAAATTTATAATATCAATTGATACAATAAAATAATAAGTAAAAAATTGTTTTTTGTAAGCATTTTTTGCAAAATGTAATAGAAAAGGTATTTAAATTGACATCAGTAAATGTTTTAAAAATCCATCACAGTTCTAACTGCACCTAGAAATAAACTGTGTAATTATTTTCAAACTATTAAACAATCTCATCATTTTTGTATATAGCAATTGTTAGTTGAGTAGTACAAAATCAAAGTTATCTAATACTCATTATTGTTTAAGAATAAGTAATTCGATTCCAAATTTCAAAAAATTTTAATTCTGCGCTAAATTTATGTAATAGTTAAGATAATACCTTAGAGAAACAAATCTAAATTCAAAGGTTGACATATTTTTGAATAATTTTTTTTTAACAATATTAGGGATTATACCCCAAATGCTAAAGATTTGAATCCAAATATCTTTACAACTTGACGTGATGGTGAAAAATGAGTTGTATATTTTAAATCAAAATTATGAAATGTTATACAAAAAATAGTTTGCTCGGCACCAGAAAAAATTTTTTTGTTGTTGAACTGCGTTATTACTGTTTCATTAAATAAATAACTTTTATTTTTAAGCTTTTATTCTGATTTAGATTAAAATTGAAGCAGAACAATAAAAAATGTTTAATAATTCAAAAATAATATATGTATATATATATATATACCAAATTATCGATTTGTTGGCTTATATCCATTTTAAAGCAATAAAAAATTAATTCACGTGCGACCAAATTAGTATCTTGTGCCGTAAGTCCGACGAAATCGCGTTTCTATCCACTGATCTCAAAATATAACTGGTAGCCTATACGGCAAATATTTTTGGCCTCCCAAGATAGCGGCGTACTTAGTTGATTAAAACTTGGTTACGAACTTTTATATCTTTTTGAAATGAAAATAAATGTACAAGCCTCAAATACAAATATAATTTTCGGTTTTACATAGCAAATATTTTGAAAATAAATGCAATATTACATATTTACGTAAATTTCTAAAATATATATTTGCATATTATTGCTTGCGTATTATCTTTCTTTTTTATATAAAAATTAATTAATTAAATAAAGAAAATTAAATCAGATTAAAATTTTTAGTTAAATAATTAAAAATTAGTTTATTTAACATAAGTAAAGAACGCACTAGAAACTAGTATTATACCTAAAACCTAATAGCTAACTATTAGGTTCAACTAATATATATAACTAGTTATAACCTGTTAGTAGAAGTAAAAAACAAATAAAAACCTAGTAGTTATCCAATTCAAAAGTTCCCAAACAACTTTAAATGTAGAAAATCAAAATAATTTTATTCATTTTTTATTTGTATTTCATTTTTTTACTTACTTTTAATTTTAGTTTTACCATAAATTAATTGTTTAATATTGTTTTTTATACAATTTATGTACCTTTTAGTTCTTAACTTTATTTTAATGTCATTTCAGCAACATATCAGACAAAATGAGATCAATGCTTTTTTGAATGCTGCAATTTAGAATATCTGCATAATCATGGTCACTATTAGTTGGTTTTCTCTCCAACAAATCATATTTTCTTATTAATTCAATTTCAGTCAGATATTTTAGTACTAGAGCAACAGAAAAAAGAATCTAAAGCTTTTAAATAATGAGTTTGGTCTATGATGCTGCAGTTTCCATTTGAACATTGAACGCTACTTTGCATCAAAAGTTGTGTATATGTGGTTGTGAGTTGTTGACATTTGATGTTGTTATTAAACATTCTTGCAGATCTCACAGCTAAATAAGATCTCACACAATAAAAAGCTTGTTAGATGGTTTTGACTGAGCTTATATGTTAAATGATTTTATGGTGAAATTTTTTTTTTTTTTCTTAGTTGAGATATATATTTTAAACAGATTTTACTGCTACCAAATACTTAATGAAATCAGTTTTTAGACTATACAAGATCATTTGCGTACCAATTAATCTCTTTAAGACTAATGAAATAATTATATGCCATGTCAAAAAATGAAAAACAAAGATTCTTGTTACATGTTGTTACAAAGAGTATTGTTACACAATACTGACTTGTATCCATTAGCAAATAGGTTTCTTGAATTTAATATGTCATGTAATCACCTTTTATGCGAATAAACTCATTGGCATACATATAAAATTATTTAACTGCAACATACAGTTTAATAATATAAAAAAGTCAGCTAACAATAACATATACACATAATTCTTAACAGCAGGTAAACATTTATAACTTTAGTTAAAGAGATATTTCAAAGAGGCATTTTGAATCCACAAGACGAAAAAATTCGCTTCGCGCGAATTTTTCGTCTTGTGGAAAACGGCCTTTAATAAAGACTGTTTTAGTTTTCCTATAACAATTGAGTAAAAAAAATTTATTTTAATAATAGTTAAACAATGAGTGTATTTAATAATAACTAACAGAAATATATTTTTCTGATTTTTTTTTTGATAAAAAGTAACAACAAATTACTAAAATTTAACCAAGTTCATCATTTGTTGCGCTTTTTATAAACTAAAAGAAGTTTTTTTACTATTGTATTAAATGGCGTATGATAAAACATTTTATAGTTGTTTTCATTCCTTTTACAAAACAAAATTCTCTCTAATATTTCAAAAGTTATAAATGTTTTAGTAACACCCCCTAAGTCAAAATTTAAAAAAAAAAAAAACAAGAAGCCGTAAAGCTCACTCTGAAACAGCCGTGCTAGTTATATTTGGAGATCAGTGGTTTCTATCTTGTATCTTGTCTTGAGGACACCATCTTGAAAGCCCCCAGTTACGCGGATAGTTTTTTTAAATTCTTCTTAAATTATTTTATTTGTAAATTCTGATAAGGCGGAAAATATGTAGCAAAGGTGGAAAACTGCAACGTGTGTATAAAGTTTATATTTCACCCAAGGCCATTTATACTAAGGCTTGGGGGAGGGGATCTTAATGCCAGTAGTGTCAAGATACACTCAGTGGCCCCTAGACAAAACTCGTCCATTTTATTGATTTTTTTGGATTTTCTGTAACGCTTTACTAAATTTGGTGGCCCTCAATTATTATAGTTAAGTAAATTCATTTTAATAAATACAACCATAAACATTCCCAGCTAATGTGTACATGAAAAAATTTCGATAATTATGTACATTTTTAAAATAATAGATTGTTTCAGCAATATTGAGTTTAAGTAACTGTTGTTTAACAACGTATTAAAAATGTTGATTCGAGTTAATCATTTTAATATCATTTGTGAGAAATTAGTTTCACAATAGTGGCCCTCTTCTAGATATTAAGAACTTATATTGTCTCAAAGACATTTTTGAAATATAGTAGTTCTGCATAGAATGTTTTGTTTCGTGTTTGTGATTAATAAGTTGAAAGTAGTTATGGAATATTTTTGAGACCAGATTTTGTTTTTTATAGACTAACGCTAGTTTTGATTCGTAAGTATTTGCCCAGGCAACATTGCAGTAGCTAATGTAGCTATGAACAAATGCAAAGTATAAAATTTTTTTGACATAATTTATTTAAAATATGCTTAGTTTTATGCATAATTCAAACGCTTTTAGATATTTTATTTTTTAAAACTTGATGTGCTCTTTTCAGCTTATAGTTTTAGATGTATTTGCTTTTTTTGATATCAAGGAAAGTTTGTTGGCCTTCAATCAATCGCTCAATTCATCAAGCTCCTTTTTACTGTGTTAAAAATTTTATTAACATTTGAGTGGGTATAGAAAGCTTGGGTGCCATCTGCAAAATGTTCAGTATACGAAAAGAAAAAAGTATGTTGTTGATATAAACAAGAAAAAGCAAAGGACATAGAATGGATTCCTGGGGGACGCAACAAGTAATCATTTTAAGAGAAACGTAAGTATTATTGTAATATAAGGTTTGTTTACGATTGTTTTGACAGCATGAAAACAATTTAAAAAAAATTTTTATACCATAGTTACTAAGTTTGTACAGAGGGATCTTGTGATACACTGTCTCGAAGGCCTTTGATAAGTCAATAAATACTCCAAGTGTATATTGATTTTTTTGAAGATTTTGTTAACTAACTTTATTAATGGATGTTCAGCTGAATGGTCTTTTTTAAATCTGTATTGGTTATTAAAAGGATATAGTGATTTTGGAGGTATGTAAAAAGTCGGTTGTACATTATGCGCTCTAGTACTTTTGAAAACTATGAAAGTATTGGCCTCTAATTTAATAGAGTAGAGTTATCTCTGTTTTCGAATATTGGAACTAAGCGTGCTAATTTTAAGTGTTCAGGAAAAACTTTTTAACGAGAGATTAAAGATATACGGTCGGAGATATTCAATAACATCATAAAGATGGGAGCTTATGTCATGAAGGCCCAGACTCTTTTTGATTGTATTGTTTTAAATTCATTTCGAAGCTAATCCGAAGATAAGTCAAATTTGTTCACTACAAAGTCCACTAACATCGGTCCTTATGAACCCACTTTGAGGGTTATATTTTGAAAAACAGTTAGTAATGATATTGTCTAGGAATGGTTCAGTTTGATGAGTAACGCGAGTCGGCTTATTAATTAATGGTAATATATTATGTTGATAAAGAATATTTATAACATTATTATCAGTTTTTATGTCTAAAAGGTTTATATTGGAGTCCCCCATTAAGAATAGTTGTTTATTTTTTACAGTGTCTAAATACTGTTCTGAATATTTTTCAAACAATTTTATATTACCACTAGGTTGTCTATATATCGCAGTTAAATTGCAGTGTATTGTGGATAAAAAACATATTCCGCCGCCCATTCTCTTCCTCTGGTTTGATGAATTGATTTGCATCCTGTCAGTTGAAGATTGAAATTATTGGAATTTTCATCTTGACACCAAGTTTCTATGACATATCACCTTAAATTCATAGTTTATGTTTCGTAATATAGGTTTAAAATTTTCAAAATTTTTTTCGTACTGCTAATGTAAAGCTGGTTGAAGCTTTTTTGCATGCGACATTTTTTGCGCGTTTTGAATGGTTCATTTTTAAAAAAAAATCGTGAAACTCATTATTTTATTTTTTTCATAATTGTTTGGTGATTTTGATTTTTACGAGTTTTAAGTTTTAGTATAGTTTTACTATGGGCAATATACGGCAACTGAATTTTCAAACTCAATTAGAAGATGAAAGGTATGAAATAAAACACTTACAAATGAAGGAATGGAATAAAGATAACTTCATTTAATTCATTTAATTTTTTTTACTCTTTAACAAATTTAAAATAATTTCGAAGTTATACTACTTGTTATACTAATAAGATCTTAGTATAACCAAAAAGAAACCATTGCTTGTTGCAACGTTACCGTTGTTTATATTGAAGGTAAATATTCAGTCCAATTAAGAGCACAATGAGTTAAAAGCAAAGAAATTGGTAAAACCAAAAGACTGTGCTGCTGAAAGGAGGCGTCGAAAACTTGTAAAAGGCTCTTTAACATAATGCAAGTGAAAAAGAAATTGAATTTTTTCAAAAATTAAAAATTGCTGAAATTATAATCATAGTAGACAATCTCATTGAATTGAGCTATGGAAAGGGCTCTTTTCAAAATTGAGCTGAATACTTGAATTTTTGACTAAGTGAACTAAGTTAGATGCTAAAATCATAATTGCATGCTAAAAAAGTTATGAAACCTTATTCAAACAACGTTGACTCATTTTTTACTAATGAATGTCTCTATTTCCGTAGCTTCGTTACAGCAGATATCGAAGATAATGACAAAAATCGAAAATCAACTGTATTTAATTGTCTCTAAATGATTCAAATTAATTTGACCTTAAATTAAATTTTCCCATTATTGACGTTGTCATGCAAATT